AAAAAAAAAAAAAAAAAAAGAAGAGATGTTTGTCTTTCACAGCATCCCTTATCTAAACCTGGCATTCAAAGTCTTCCATATTTTGTAGGGGTACAGTGGCTCACACCTGTAATCCTAGTACTCTGGGAGGCCTGAGGCAGGAAGATCCCTTGATCTCAGGAGTTGAGACCAATCTGAGCAAGAGAGATACCACATCTCTACTAAAAATAGAAAAATTAGCAAGTGTTGTGGCAAGTGCCAGTAGTCCCAACTACTTGGGAGGCTAATGCAGGAGGATGGCTTGAGCCTAGGAGTTTGAAGTTGCTGTGAGTTAGGCTGAGGCCATGGTACTCTAGCCCAGGTGACAAAGCAAGAGTCTGTCTCAAAAAAAAAAAAGTCTTCCATATTTTGACACCCGCCTTCCTTTCCAGGCTGATCTCCCATGACATTGTTGTGTGTAGCGTCCTCTTCTCCTGTGATAGAAGTCTGAGTCTTTGCAAATGTCCATCCCCCAACTCCACCTACTAAAATCTACCATGAAAGTTCACCTTAACTACCATGAAGTTATTATTTTTTTTTGGCCGGGGCAGGGTTTGAACCTGCCACCTCCAGTATATGGGGCCAGCGCCCTACTCCTTGAGCCACAGGCACCACCCACCATCAAGTTATTTTTAATCAACCCAAGTAGATGAGTCTCTTCTCAAAATCCTAACTGCATTTTCTTTTCCCTAATTTTGAGTCTCCAACCACATGTATTGTCAGTATCTACATCACTGCCTCCTTAACCTCCAAGTTCATCAATTTTTTGAGATCACAGACATCTATTTCATGTTTCTTCATAGGACCTCCACAATACTTTGCACCTAATTATTTATAATTAATAAATAATTGCTGAAGGAATGGTTGCCTCACTAAACACATGCCTCCCACTGGCAGCGGGGGCCAGATTTACGACTCAAGACAATTGAGAATCTAATTCAGCATCCACTGGGTACTCAAAGACTCAAGGCACTCATACACAGAGAAGAAGAAGGAAAGGCAAAATTATTTCTCTATCTGCTGGTGCCCATCAGGGTTTACTCCCAGACCTTCTTTAGCTTGGCTCATGTTGCGTTATTTTACATGTGTTAATTGATGCTTTATAAATTATTTGCTGGACATTCCAGCAAAGATTCAGAGTTTGATCACAGGGAAAGAATGTTCTCTCCATTCCTCCCTGCAGAGATAGCTATCTTCTGTGGGATGCCAGACACTGAAGGGGCTACCCCAAGACTTATCCTTTGACCAGTAATGGGAAGAAAATCACCTAGTTCTAGTCTCAGAAGTGCAGGATCACCAACCTGTCCCGCACAGGCTCTGTTCAGCCAATCTCATCAGAGCTCCCTTTCTGCCCAGTTCCTGGAAACCCTTTTCAAGCTTGGCCTTAAATTGCCAAATCTGCTGTGGGGCCGGAAGCCTTTGCCCACTCTCATGCTGCCCTCTTCTGTTCAGAAAGTGCAACATCTCTAGTTTAAGAGGCCTGTATGGTGCCAGCCACCCAGGAAGACAGGATCCCTACCACCAGAAGCCCATCACCATAGCAACCTTCAAAATGGTTACTCAGCCATCTGGGTTACCATAGCAACCAGCCAACTTTCTCCACCTCAGCCTCTCCCTAAACCTTTTCCCCTGGCTTGCCAGAGCCAATGCCAAAGAATTTCCAAGGCTTACTGGGGGAAATAAGCAGAGGCTGGACCCCTGATAGGCAGCTATCCTGGAGAAGCATGGAATGCCTCACCTGCTTGGGGCTTCCTGAGACACAGTGAAGATGATGGGTGTTAAGGCACCCATGAACCTTCAAGTGCGGCACAGATGTTAGCTGTTATTAAACTTCTGTTCCTTGTAATGGGAGAGGCAGTGGGTTGCCCTAGGCAGAGATAGGGCTATTCTCAGTTTGGCCCCTTACTGGGTAGAAGACATTGAACAACTTACTGAACTCTCTGGGTTTCTATTTCCTGCAGCATAACTGCCTCCTAAAGTTGTTTTGAGGATTAGGTCAAATGCAGCATGAAAAGTGCTAAGCACAAAGCCTGGCATTCAGAACATAACAATAGTTGTTAGAAAAAGCATTTAGCCAGGTGTTGTGGTAGGCACCTATAGTCCCAGCTACTCCAGAGGCTGAAGCAAGAAGATGGCTTGAGTCCCAGAGTTTGAGGTTGCTGTGAGCTATGATGCCACAGCACTCTATCCAAGGATGACAAAGTGAGACTGTCACAAAAAAAAAAAAAAAAAAAAAGAAAGAAAAGTATGGGTCTGTCTGCTATTTCCCAGCTTCTCTGTGAATTTTTTCACAAGAAAAAAAGCTATTTTTCCTCTTTGAAAGAATCAGGCTAATGTAAATGCTACTCTACCACACACAATCCCTCTACTTCGTGGCAAAAGTCTCATCCTACGTGGGGAGTCTGAGGTTCCTACCAAGCAGGGCTACAGGCAGTCTATACTCTTTGGGGATTTGAGGGGTATGGCTTGTTTACCTGAGACACAGGCTCCTTTGACAAGAACAGAATTCATTCCCTTCCTAATTTTAAAGACCTCAATCCTATTGCATCTCAACTTCAGTCTCTTGAGATTAAATCCTTGAAATCCATTTTGGGGTATTTTCTTCAATTACACTAGCAGGGTCCCAATTCAAACTCAAGGTCCATGGGCTTGAGGTGATTTGGACAAAACAGACAGACACCATCCCCTAAAATCAAGGTTTCATACATAGAACCAGGAATGCTTTAGTCTAGCTCGGTGTGTTCTGGGAATGGAATATGGAACTCAAGCTGGAAGGACCAGAGGATCATCCCAGCATCACTAAGAGGGTCTCCAGCTTTTGGAAGTTAGGATCCCTTGTAAAGTCTCTGTGCAGTGGATCAGGTGGACTTGTTCTAGTCATCAGATACAGACTGTGGTATAAACTGTATAAATAAACTGGTATATCTGCTATTAGAACAACAGTATAATATAATGGTAAGAACGTGTGGGAGGTGAAAGTATGTGATTACTGGGAGGCAGTGATATTATGATAAATATATACCAGGGGTGCCAAAAAATGTATATACATCTCAAGAGATCTTATGGGAAGTAAAATCGATTATTTCCAAAAAGTGTATGAAAT